GGAACCGGTCTGTATGTGGGATCCAAACCCTCGGGCGGGAGCGCCGCCGCACTTCCCAAGCGGCGCACTATCCAGTGCGCCACTGGGCCGGCCCGAGGAGATGAATTTTTATGAAAGCTGAGGGTTGGCATTTAAGGAGGACCTATCTATTTATTGTAGCTTTAGTTATATGAAGTAGAAAATGGAAAACTATACGCTCAGTAATAGAAGCATTATTTAATAAATTATAGTATTTGATTGTTTTACTTAGCATTCATATGATTATTAGAGATAGAAATTGGCTCAGATGACCTCAATAGGAAAGGGGGAATTTATTTTAAGGATTTGGAAAGATCTCATAGGGCTTTAAAAATGCTTAAAAAATTTTTTTTCAAAAGGAGTATGTTTACTATAAGTAGTAAAACAGTACAAAAATGTATTTTAAAAGTTTGACTCAGGGCCGGCCCGGTGGCGCACTCGGTAGAGTGCGGTGCTTGGGAGTGCGGCAGTGCTCCCGCCGAGGGTTCGGATCCCATATAGAGACCTGTCCGCTCACTGGTTGAGCGCGGTGCAGGCGCGACACCGAGGGTTGCGATCCCGTTGCCGGTCGCGGTACAGGCACGGCACTGAGGTTTGCGATCCCGTTACCGGTCACGAAAAAAGACAAAAAGGAAAAAAAAAAAAAGTTTGACTCAGGTCAGGTATGGAGAGCCCCTCGTCCTGGGAAATTGAGTTTGGCTGGAAAGGGGGCAGCCCCCTTGCCCATCGCGCAACACTCAGTTCTTGGGGAACCTGGTGCTAAACCATTAGTAGACAATGTGCTTCTGGGTTGGGGTTTTATATGTAGCAGAGCAGCTCAGTTCCTGCAATCTATTGAGAGTCAGGGGTTTGTAATAAAAAAAAAAAAAAAAGTTTGACTCTGTTCCCAACTTTCCATCATTTTCATCTTCATTAGGTAATTAAATTAATATAACCTGATATGCTTCCTTTCATAGCTTTCTCTATTACTTTGTGATTAAAATTTTTTTTCAATAATTTATTCTGAGATATTGATTGTAATTTAATTATTTGTGGTCATTCTGAATTTACTCAGACTTGTGTATGGCCCAGATTATGGCCTGTCTTGGTAAATGTTCCATGTGCATTTGAGAACAATGTGTATTGTGCTATTATTGCCTATAGTGTTCTATAAATGACTATCAGGTCTAGTTGGTTGATATTGTTCACATCTATCATATCTTTATTGATTTTCTGCCTACCTGTTCTATCAATTATTGACAGAGGGGTTTTGAAATCTCTGATTATAATTGTGGATTTACCAGTTTCTCCTTACAGTTCTAACAATTATTGCTTCATGTAATTTAAAAACTCTATTATTACATTCATAAACATTTAGAATTGTGTCCTCCTGATTAATGGACCCATTTACTATCATGAAATGACCTTCATAATCCCTGGTAATATTCCTTGCTTTGAAATCTACTTTGATATTAACATATCCATTCCAGCTTTCTGTGGACTGTGTTAACATGGTATATCTCTTTCCATTTTTTTACTTTTAATGTATTTTTGTCTTTATATTTAAACTGTGTTTCTTATAGACAGCATATACTTTGCATCCTGCTTTTTTATCCAATTTGACAATCTCTGCTTTTTATTTGGGATATTTGGATCATTTGATGTGTTTTTTTTTTTTAACTGACAAATAATAATTGTATATTATTATTTGGAGTGCAGTGTGATGTTTTGATGTATGTGTACATTGTGTACTGATTAAATCAAGCTAATAAATATTTCCATCATCTCACATATTTATTGTTTTTGTGGTTAGAACATTTAAAATATATTCTTAGCAATTTAAAAATACAATACATTATTAACTATCATCATAACGCATGCAATAGATCTCAAAAATTTATTCCTCCTGTTTAACTGGAACTTTGTACCCTTTGACTAACATCTCTCCATTCATTTCCCCCACCCCCCAGCCTCTGGTAATGTTCATTCTCTCTACTTCTATGAGTTCAACATTTTAGATTCCACATGTAATTGGATCATACAATATTTTTATTTCTTTGTCTGGCTTATTTCATTTAGCATAATGTCTTCCAGGTTCATCCATGTTGTCACAAATGATAATATTTTCTTCTTTTTTAAGGCTAAATAGTAATCCATTGTGTATACATACCACATTTTGCTTATTCATTCTTCTGATGATAGACACTTAACTTAATTCCATATCTTGGGCATTGTGTATGATGTTACAATGAACATGAGAGTGCAGATATCTCTTCAACACTGATTTCAGTTCCTTTAGATATATACTCAGAGGTGAGATTGCTGGATCATATGGTAGTTCTATTTTTAGTTTTTTGAGTAATATGATTATGGATGTGGTTAAATTTGAGTTCATCAACTTGGTACTTGTTTTCTGTTTGTCCCATCTGTTTTTTGTTTTTTCCTTTTTCTGCCTTCTTTTGGTTTGAGGTTTTTTTTTTTCTTTCTTGGCATCTGGCCAGGACAGGTATCCAAACTCTTGACCTTGGTGTTACCAACATTGCACTCTAACCAACTGAGCTAACCAGCCAGCCTGGTTTGAGTATTTTCTATGATTCCATTTTATCTCCTTTCTTGGCTTAATAGCTATTACTCTTTGCTTTGTTATTTTAATGATTACTTTGAGTTTGTAGTATACATTTTTTTTTACCTTTTTTGTCTTTTTTACTGACCGGTAACGGGATCGCACCCCTTGGTGTCGTGCCCACACCACGCTCAGCCAGTGAGCGGGAACCGGTCTCCACATGGGATCCGAACCCTCTGCGGGAGCGCTGCCGCGCTCTCAAGCGGCGCACTCTCCAGTGCGCCACTGGGCCAGCCCTGTAGTATACATTTTTAATCACACTCTATCTTTTTTTTTTTTTAAAGATGACCGGTAAGGGGATCTCAACCCTTGGCTTGGTGTTGTCAGCACCACGCTCAGCCAGTGAGCAAACTGGCCATCCCTATATAGGATCTGAACCCGCGGCCTTGGTGTTATCAGCACCGCACTCTACCGAGTGAGCCACGGGCCGGCCCATCACACTCTATCTTTATGTGACTTTATTCAATTTCATATATAAGATCCTTGGAGTAGTAGACTTTCATTTCTGCTCTTTTGTGGTACTATTGTCATGCATTTTACTTTTAAGTATATTATAAATCACACAAAACATTATTATTTTTGTTTGAAATGTCAATTATTTTTTAAGGAGAATTAAATAATTTTTTAAACTTATACATTTACCCAGATAGTTATTATTTCTGGTGCTTTTCTTTCCTTTGTGTAGATACAGATTTCTATCTGGTAACATTTTTCTTCTGCCTAAAATACATCCTTTAATATTGCTTATAGTGTGGGTCTACCAATGATGAATTCTTCAGTTTTCGTATGTCTGAAAACACCTTCATTAAACCTTTGTTTTTGAAAGATGTTTTTGCCAGGTATATGTAATTCTAGGTTGACAGTATTTTAAAGATGTTGATTAGTTTATTCTGACTTGTGTCTTTCCAATGAGAAATATGATGTCATCACTATCTTTGTTCCTCTGTATATACATATTGTTTTCTTCTGCCCACTTTTAAGATTAGTAATGATTTTGAGTGCTTTCATTATGGTGTGTCTTGGTGAAATTAACTTCATGTTTCCTATATTTGGGATTCATGGAGCTTTTTGGATCTGTAGGTTTATAATTTTCATCAAGTTTGGCAAGTTTTTGACCACTATTAAAAAAAAAAAAAATTATGCAGCCACCTTCTCCCCCCATTGGATTTCTTTGTACACTCCAACTTCCCTATATTAAGCTGCTTGAAATTGTCCCACAGCTCACTGATGCTTTTAAATTTTTTTGTTTTCTTTTTTCTTGTGTGTTTCAGTTTGGATAGTTTCCATTGCTATGCCTTCTAGCTCAGTAATCTTTTCCTCTACAATACTCAACGTGCTACAATCTCATCTAGTATTTTTTTCATCTTAGATACTGTCATTTTCATCTCTAGAAGTTCAGTTTGGGAGTTTTTAATATCTTCCACATTCCTACTTTTGAATATATGAAATATTTGTAGTAGCTATTTTAATCCCTTCCTCTGCTAATGGTAACATCTGTGTCAGTTCTGACTCAATTTCAAATAATTGATTATTGTCCTCATTAAGAGTCATGTTTTTCTGACCCTTTACATACTTAGTAGGTTTCAATTTACTTTTTAAAAAATTTATTATTATTTTATTGTGGTAAAATGCACATAACATAAAATTTACCATTTTAACCATTTTTTGTATGTATTCAGTGTTATTGAATACATTCATAATGTTGTGCAACTGTCACCACCATTTATCTCATATCTCTTTACATCTTGTAAAACCAAAACTCTGTACCTGTTAAACGATAAAGTCCCATTCCCATCTTCCCTAGCCTATGCCAAACACCATTTTATTTTCTGTCTCTGCAGTTTTGACCACTCCAACTACCTCATATAAGTGGAATCATACAGTATTTTCCTTTTTTGTGACTGGCTTATTTTACTTAGCGTAATGTCCTCAAGGTTCATTCATGCTATAGCATATGTCAGAATTTCCTTCCTTTTTAAGGTTGAGTACTATTTTATTGTATGTATAGAGCACATTTTCCTTACCTATCCATTTGTTGTTGAACACTTGGGTTGCTTCCACATTTTAGCTATTGTGAACATGGGTATACAAATATCTCCTTAAGACCCTGCTTTCGATTCGTGTGTGTGTGTGTGTGTGTGTGTACAAAAAAATTTTTGAGAAACTGCCAACTGTTTTCCACAGCAGCTGTGTCATTTTACGTTACCACCAACAGCGTACATGGGTTCCAGTTTCTCCACTTCCTTGCCAGCACTCGTTATTTTCTGGGATATTTTTTTGATAGTAGCCATCCTAATGGGGATGAGGTGGTATCTCATTGTAGTTCTAATTTGTATTTCTCTAATGATTAGTGATGTTCAACATCTTTTTATGTGTTTATTGGCCATTGGTATATCTTCTTTGGAAGAAATATTTATTCAACTCCTTTCCCCATTTTTGAATCAAAGTTTTTGTTGTTGTTGAGTTTTTGGAGTTCTCTACATATCCTGTATATCAGTCCTTTATCATGTACATGATTTGCAAATATTTTCTCTTTCTGCTTGATGTATTTTGATTAGATGCCAGACATTGTGAGTTTTACCCTCTTGGGTGCTGGATATTTTTGTTTTCCTATAAATATTCTCGAATTTCATTTTGGGATGCAATTAACTTCCTTTTAAACAGTTTAATCATTTGAGGTCTTGCTTTTATGATTTACTAGGTGGTTTCAGAGCAGCAATCAGGCTAGGGCTAATTATTCTCTATTACTGAAACAAAACCTTCCTGAATACTCTACCCAGTGCCCTGTGAGTGAAGAATTTTTCCATAATGGATGGTGAGAACAAGTACTATTCCTGGCCCTGCGTGGCACTGGACGCTTTTCCCTAATCCTTTTTGATGGTTCTTTTCCTGCCCTCAGATAGTATACTCATGCTTATGAACTCTGATAAGTACTCTGCTGAATAGAATGGGATGCTGTGCAGATTCTCTCCCTGTGCGGTTCTCTTATCCCCCGGTATTTTGTCCTATAAATTGTCTTAGTCTCTGTGGACTTTCAGCTCCATCTCCTCATCTCCTTTACTCAGTGAGTCCACTGGGCTCTGCTTCAGGTCTATATTTTTGTGCCACAGCCTGGAAACTGTCTCAAGGCAGTATTTCACTTTGTTTTCCAACTCTAAGGGTCACTGTCTTTATTGCCTAATATTCAATATTTTTTTTTTTTTTTTTGCAGCTGGCTGGTATGGGGATCTGAACCCTTGCCCTTGGTGTTGTAACACCATGCTCTAACCAACAGAGCTACCAACCAGCCATGTTAAATATCTTGAAAATTGTTGTTTCATCTTTGTTTCTGTTCTTTCAGTTGTTTCAAGCATGAGTGTAAATCTGGCTGCTTTTACTTTATCTTGTCTGGAACCAGAAGTCTTTATCACTCTTCCATTAGATTTAAAAATGAGAAATTGGTCTTTCACATTTACCCACATATTTCTCATACTATTCTACTACATTTTGTCAACCTCTTTTACCTGCCCGTAATCCTACCAACTGGGCCAAGTGTCACGCTAGGGCTGTGTCTGGAGCTCACAGACCCCTCAAGCCCATTCACAGACTGGGTCACAAACCCTTCACATGCCAGGCTGGGTCCCCAGGCCCCTCACACGCAGGTCTATGAGCTAGGTAACTGGCCAAAAAAGGTCCTTGGAGCCGTAGGTTCGAGAGCAAAGCCACGTGCAGCAGATGCCTGAGGTAGTAGACACCAGACAGGGTGGCAGTGCTGCCCATGAGCACTAACTCCACCCACACATAACTCGTTTGCAAAGAATGCACTGCACCACCCCCAACCAGACCTAAGGCAAGGGGGCCTGATTAAATTATAATATTTTCCCAACACATTTCTTATCCTGTAGGTCTGCTTGCAATGAATTTTCACTCAGGTTTTGTTTGTGTGAAGAAGTCTGATACTGTATTTTTTTTTTTTTAATCATTTCTAGAAGTTACATTTAGGACTTTCTTATATATTCATTTTCTCTCCTCATGTTTGTTTTTATTACTCCTGACTCATATTTATAATATTTATAATAGCTGTTTTAAGTCCTTCTCTGCTAATTTCACTATCTCTGTCATCTCTGGGTCCATTTCTTTTTTTTTTAAAAAGATGACCGGTAAGGGGATCTTAACCCTTGACTTGGTGTAGTCAGCACCACGCTCAGCCAGTGAGCGAACCGGCCATCCCTATGTGGGATCCGAACCCCGGGGCCTTGGTGTTATCAGCACCGCATTCTCCCGAGTGAGCCATGGGCCGGCCCATCTGGGTCCATTTCTAGTGATTAATTTTTTCCAGGTTATGGATCACATTTTCCTACTCCTTTGTATGCCTGGTAATTTTTGATTGGATACTAGTTATTGTGAAATTTACATTGTTGTTTGCTGGATTTTATTGTTTTCCTCTAAAGAATCTTGTACTTTGTTCTGGCATGCAGTTACTTGTAGACCAAGTTGCTCCTTTTTTTTTTGGTGGCTGGCTGGTATAGAAATCCAAAATCTTTGACCTTGGTGTTATAACACCACACTGTAACCAACTGAGCCAACCAGCCAGCCATCAAGTTGCTCCTTTTGAAGCTTTGTTAGAGTGGCTTTAGAACACCCTTTACCTTAGGACTAATATATAATTTAGCCTCACTGTTATCAAATGCTTTGTTTATTATGAGATTTCTTCACTCTGTCTGGTGGGATGTGAGCTATTCCTAACCCTGTGTGACTTTGGGATTTGTTTGTGTACCACTTTCTGGTGGTTCTTTCCCTAGCCTCTTACAGATTTACTCTGTATCACTACTTGGCCAAAGATTTGAGGGACTCCTGTACAGGTCAGTTGGTTTCTCTTGCTCTCTCCCTCTCTCCCTGTGGAGCTTTTTCTTTTCCTGTACTTTATTCAGAAAAGTTTGGCTGCTTGGCCACCTGAACTATTTTGGTATTTTCTTTCTTTCCTTTTTTTGGGCAGCTTTCTGGTACAGGGATCGAACCCTGGACCCTTGTATTATCAGCACCATGTTGTAACCAACTGAGCTAACAGGCCAGCCCAACCCAGAACTGTTAAGATCTCTGTATCCTCAGCTCAACAAAACTGCCAGGTTCTCTTTAGGTCCCCCTTACTGCAATCTAGAAACTGACCCATTTGAATACTTTCTCTCAGGGATCACCTTCCTGTATTACCTGTTGTCCACTGTCTGAAACAGTTCTCTCAGCCATTCACTACACATATTACTTTAATTTTTATATCTTCTTTTTTTCCAGAACAATATAGCTGAAGTACAAGAATTACATTCTGAATTAATGTGGAAGGATTTTATAGACCACATCAGTAGTCTCCTGCACAGTGTTGAAGTAGAAGTCAGTTACTTTGCAGCTGGAATTATTGCCCATTTAATATCCAGAGGTGAACAAGCTTGGACATTGAGCCGTAGCCAGAGGAATTCTCTTTTGGATGATTTGGTAGGTTATTTGGTATTTTCTGGAAACATAAACAACCAAAATTCATAGTGGCTAAACTGTCAAAGCCTTATAATGTATTAATACAAGCTAAATAAATATTGTAATCCTTTCTTGTTTGTCTTGTATCTTCCAGCATTCAGCTATTTTGAAATGGCCAACTCCAGAGTGTGAGATGGTAGCATACAGGTAATTAGCACAATAATTAATATTAAGCCATAATCTAGTCATTTTGCTTGCCTATAGATCATTCTTACTAGATGTATAATTTTTCCCACAGGCAGCTTTCTTAGTACTGGCTTTATTATTTTATTTTTACTTTTATTTAATTAATTTATTTATTTATTGGCATCTGGCTTGTATAGGGATCCAAACCCTTGACCTTGGTGTTATAACACCACATTCTAACCAACTGAGCTAACTGGTCAGTCCAGTACTGGCTTTAAAAGAAGCAAAGTATTTTTACCTTTTTTCTGCCACCTGTCATTCATCATTCCTCCCTTCTTTCCAAATCTATTGAAGACAAGTGCCAGGAATTTGTTTTATGCTCTTGAAATTCATAGATAAAAAACAAAATGTGAATCAGATATAATTCACCATTATGCTAGACGTGCATAGAATGTTATGAAATTAAAGATGAGAGCATATTTTTTTAAATCTACACTGGAAAATGGTAAAAAGCTTACAGAGGAAGTGAATTGTAAGCTGAGTTTTGAAAGATAAGTAGGGGGGGCCGGCCCGGTGGCGCACTGCTACAGTGTGCCGCTTGGGAGTGCGGCGGTGCTCCCGCCAAGGGTTCGGATCCCACATACAGACTGGTTCCCGCTCACTGGCTGAGCAAGGTGCGGGCCCAACACCGAGGGTTGCGATCCCGTTGCCGGTCCCGGTCCGGTACGGGCGCGAGAGACACTGAGGGTTGCGATCTGTTGCCGGACACGAAAAAAGACAAAAAGGAAAAAAAAAAAAAAGAAAGATAAGTAGGGGCAGGAGATTTTAGGAAGAGGAAGCAATGTATCAATGTAAGGAGGTCTAAAATAAGACCCATTGAAGAAACTATAAGTAGCACCAGATTCATTTGGGAAAACAGTTTGTAATAGTTTATTAAAGTGCATACTGGATGCCCAACTCTGTTTATGACAGTTAGGTGACTTGATAGCTAAGATACTAATCACCTGATGTATTCCATGTTGTTGCATAATTAATCTTATTACAGCTTATTTTTGTCTACTTCGTATGCTGATGCAGCCAACATTTTTGACTTCCCCAGTTTAGGTTCTACACATTTTTGTTCAGACCAGGAGAAATGGAAAGGCTTATTCTAGACCTTCTTCGTTGTGTTCTGTCAGTTGGTTATCACCTAATTTCTCCATTTCTTAGTTTCTAAACAAGAGTCTGCTAGTCTTCAAATGTGTATCTTTAAGAGCAAAAAAGTGCTTTTGAAAACATTTTGTTCTCTTTTAGTACTGTGTTCTAATCACCTTCTATCTTCCGTGCCAGTACATGTGTGAACACAATCCTTTCTGAAATGGCTAAGACTAAAGACGTTCTATAGCTCATTTATATTAGTCTATAAATAGTAAAATGAAATTTCTAAAATGAAATGTTGGGAAAATAGAATAATCAGGCCCCCTTGCCTTGGGTTGGGTGGAGTTAGTGCGCATGTGCAGCACCGCCACCTGGCTGGTGTTCACTGTCTCGGGCATCAGCTGCGCGCAGACATGCTCTCAAACCTACTGCTCCAAGGACCTTTTTGCCAGTTACCTAGCTCATAGACCTACCTGTGAAGAGTTTGTGACACAGTCTGGACAATGGGCTTGAGGGGTCTGTGAGCTCCAGACCGAGTCCTAACTCGACAATTGGCGTAGTTGGTGAAGGATTATGGGCAGGTAAAAAAGCTCAACAGTTGGCGTAGTCTGCGACAGGATTCTGAGCAAGTACAGCAGCCAGAAAGCCCTTGGAAGAAGGAGGAAATGTGGCTATCCTTGAGCATGTGGTGCCCAGTGGCCAGTTTCCTATTGATGGGAGCCTGGATGCTACTCACTATGCTGCAAACTGATCGAGATTTGCGGCAGAAAGCAGAGTTGTTGGAAGTACGGATGACTGTCCTGGAGGATGACGTGTAGCAACTGGCCACTCTTGCCTCTCACACCAGGGAAGACAATGAACGCAGTGGTGAGTTGGGGGAGACCGTGCACCTCCAGGCATGTCGTGCACCAGAAAGTGAAACACGAGCAGTCTATGGGACCGGGCAGACCAGTAGGCAACTGACAGGGGACCCAATTCACCACCTATGTCCCGTCTACCCAGGACTAATTGGTTGGCTTGGGGAGACAGTAAAGCAGCAGAAACAGGGAAAGCCCCTGGCTACTGCAGCCATGAGACCTAGGGGTGGATGGTGAAACACGCTCTGGAGATGGTATTGTAAACGCATGTTGTGTTTGTCTGAAGGCAGATGGCTCGCCAGGTGCCACTTAAACCTGAGAAGGCTCGGAGGGTGCCACTTAAACCTGATGGCTGGCTGGGTACCGTATAAACCCGAGAAAGCAGATGGCTCGACGGGTACCATATAAACCTGAGAAAAGAGTGACTGAGTGAATGCAGTTGTTCAAACTGTAGTTGAACACTGTAGCACTGCCTGAGACTGTGAGTGAATAGCTGGTGTGAGCCAAGCTGATTCAAGTAATTCAGGAGCTGGGGATGGGACAATGAAAACGCCGCAGCTCGATGCTAACAAGCAAGACAATGAAAACGCCCTGAGGGCATTTCAGAAGTTTGAGAAGGTACCCCTCCCATCATAGACCCTGGGAACTGAGTTTTTTCCGGAGGACAGACCTGGGGCACTGCTGCCCTCAGCAAACTGCTCCCGGCACCCCAGCCAGTCTGGCTGGAGCAGTCCTGCCTCAGCACCTCCGAACAACAAAAGCCATAAACCTTGGTGACATTCACGTTGTGTTAAGTTTGCAGGCCAGAAGTACATGAGAGCAGTGGAGGCGTGGCAGCTTCCACCAAGATTTCAGAAGATGTATGAAAAAAGCCGGGGATTCAGGTGGAGACCTGCTGCAGGGGTGGAGTCACTGCAGAGGTCATCTACGGAGAAATGTGGAGCAGAAAAGTGGGGTCGGAGCCCCCACAGAGAACCCCCACTGAGGAAATGTCTAGTGGAGCCAGGATGGTGGAACTGCCACCAGGATCCCAGAACCCTGGGGCCGCTGGCAGTGTGCAGCGCCAGCCTGGGAAAGCTGCAGGCATCAGGGCAGCTCAATGGGCTGCACTTGGCAGAGCTGTAGTGTGATGAGGTAGATTGATTTAGCTTATGCTATTTTTACTGTTTGGAAAGTGTTCTTGTTTGAACCCCCCCTCCCCAACACCTATGGTGAAAATTGAAGGTTAAAAATTGTCCTGTACTTAGAAAAATTTTAAATTCTGCCTGCCGTTGTTGTTTTCTGCCTATGCTGTCCCTAACTGATAAAACCAAGAGCTGTATCTGGATGTATCTAGACAACCTAAGGAGGAAACTGCCCTGTGGAAATTTTTGCTGTCCCTAAGTGATTAACTGGCTTATCTTGGCGGCTTCTGTAACCAGCTTGTGTTAGGCCTTGCAAAACCCCCTCCCTCCTCACACTAGGCAGGAACGTGTGTGACTATATGATAACTTTAAGTGTGTGACTATATGATAACTTTGACTGTGTGACTATATGATTTTCTTGCCTGTGTGACTATGTGCCTTTAAAAGACCCCTTAAACTTAAACTCAAGGCTGTTCTCTTACCAGAATATCTGGAGAGACAGTCACTGGCCAGCTAATAAAGACCCCCTTTTTAAATTCTCAATTGGGTGTTCTGGTTCCTTTTCCATGCGACAGCCTCACAACAGAGGTTGCCCAATGCTTTAGGGGTCCAGGTGCCCCAGTGTGCTTAATGTTTGCCCTGTTTGGGTTTATTTGTTTGGGGCCTGTTTTTCCTTTCTGTTCCTCCCTTCTGGAACGGGAATGTGTACCCAGTGTCTGTCCCACTGTATCTTGGAAGTTAGATAAACTTGTTTTTGACTCTTTACAGATTCACGCTGAAAGGAGTTTTGCCTTTAGTCTCAGATGAGACTTTGGACTTTTGAGTTGGTGCTGCAACAAGCTAAAGACTTTTGGGACTGGGATGGAATATGTAATATGTGAATGTAAGGGTCTTCTGTCCTCGCTAAGGGAACATTGCGGAAGATTATGAACGCGTAGATTGTACAGCGAGGGACCCTGAAGGGGTGGGTTGTAGGGAAAATAGAATAATTTAATCAGGCCCCCTCGCCTTGGGTTGGGTGGAGTTAGTGCGCATGTGCAGTGCGTGGTGTTGACTGCCTGGTGATCAGCCACTCGGCCATGCTCTCAAACCTACGGCTCCCAGGACCATTTTGCTGGTTACCTAGCTTGTAGACCTGTGTGTGAAGAGTTTGTGACCCAGTCTGGACAATGGGCTTCAGGGGTCTGTGAGCTCCAGACCCAGCCCTAGCTTGACAGAAAAGTTTAGGAATTATTGCTTTAGAAAATGATGCTGAGTGTAGGATGTAACTTTGACTCTTTTCTTTTGAACCTTTAGGTCTTTTAATCCATTTTTCCCATTACTTGGCTGTTTCACAACACCAGGAGTCCAGCTATGGGCAGTTTGGGCCATGCAACATGTCTGCAGCAAGAATCGTATGTACCAAAAAAGAGAATTATGTTTTTCTTTTTCAAGTGAAATACTCCTTTTACAAGAAAGCCATTTCTAAATTGTATATTGAAGTGATTTTTTAAGGGCACCAACTTTCAAAGATACAATATAAGAGAATCTTATGTTGTAAATTAAATGTATTCTTTCAGAATGGACTTGGCAGTACTAGATACTGAATGACAATGGTGAATGTGACAGTTTGAACCTCATGGAATTTTTGGGGGGGGGGCAGGGTGGCTGGCCAGTAAAAGGATCTGAACGCATGACCTTGGGGTTATAAGGCTGTGCTCTAAACAACTGAGCTAACTGGCCAGCCATGAAATTTATTAATTAATTAATTTATTATTATTATCTTTTAAGAAGATGACTGATAAGGAGATCTTAACCCTTGACTTGGTGTTGTCAGCACCATGCTTTCCCAAGTGAGCTAACCAGCCATCCCTATGTAGGGATCTGAACCTGTGGCCTTGGTGTTACCAGCACCACACTCTCCCAAATGAGCCATGGGCCAGCCCTAGCCATGAAATTTAAAGATGAAGAGCCTACAGTAAATGCATTTGTTGAGTAAAACGTCTCAAGTAGGTTCATTGTTTATGGTGCATTCCAGTGCCCAATTATCATTCACCTGAAATTCCATGTTCAAGACATTGTTGTCAGCAACCATGGTCTCTGGAAAAGCAAAACATTTAAATCAGGTTCCATATCATTCTTTTTTTGAAGGTTGTTATACAACTCTTTGTCAGTTATTTGTTAATATAAACTCATTCCACAAATGATTTGACACAAGAAACACAGAAACACTTTAATACCAAAGTATAAATTTGAAAAAAAAAAAAAAAAAATGGGGGGGGGGCAACCTGGCCAGTATGGGGAACAATTTTAAGTTAAAAATCAGGACCAAGGGCCGACCCCATGGCTCACTCGGGAGAGTGCGGTGCTGATAACACCAAGTCAAGGGTTAAGATCCCCTTACCGGTCATCTTTTTAAAAAAAAAAAAAAAAAAATCAGGACCAAGGGCCGACCCCGTGGCTCACTCAGGAGAGTGTGGCGCTGGGAGCGCAGCAGCGCTCCCGTCGCGGGTTCGGATCCTATATAGGAATGGCCGGTGCACTCACTGGCTGAGCTCAGTGCGTACAACACCAAGCCAAGGGTTCCGATCCCCTTACTGGTCACAAAAAAACCACAGGAGGGAAAAAAAAAATCAGGACCAAGGAAAAATAATTTTTTTTAAATGTAAGGATGGAAGGAAAATAGTTGAATGTAGACTTGTAGGCCATACATAGTGATTCATATACCCTGTGGGTGGGTTCCAAATAATCAGCTACCTGGTTCTCCATATAATAAGGAAAAAACATTCCTTTTCCTCACGGGAAAGTAAAGCTTTTATAAGCAATTAAATTTCTTATATTGGACCTTAATAAGGAACATATTATAGGGCCTATTGCAATGTTCTTATAGCAATGGTAGTAACATTTTGTGAGATTATTTCTTCTTGCATTTTTTTTTTTTTTTTTTTGTCCTTTTTGAGACCAGTCACACCGCTGTGAGCGCACTGGTCATCCCTATATAGGATCTGAACCCGCGGCAGGAGCGCTGCTGCGCTCCCAGTGCCGCACTCTCCCGAATGCGCCATGGGCTCGGCCCTCTTTTTGCATTTTTTGATGAAAACTTAGGGTCTCCCACAAAAAGGCAACTCAGTAAAAGCTCTTCTGTGTCAGGTAGACAGATGAGGAGAGTTTAAAGAATGGTATGTGACAGAGAAAACTTCTTTCTATCCACTTAAACTCCTACAAGGAGGCTTCTCTGGCTTCTCCTAAATTACTCAGAAGCAGAGTTGTTCATTCATAAATATAAGACTGCCTATTTAGCTACAATAAACTGTCTCTGGTCTAAAACTTTATTCATTTTACTGTACCCATGGGTTTTGAGAACTCCCTAATTTCTTAACAGTCTATTCCATCACATACTCAGCCTCTAATATCTTGGCTTCTTTCCTCATAACTCAAGAAATGGATGTTTCATAGCTCAGAAAGAGAAAATAAAACATAATAAATAAATAATAGTGCATTTTCACATAAGTGATTATTTTTGTGATTACTTTTAGGTGTCAGAGTTCTTTCAAGTTTGCTCTGTGGATGGATAGCCCTGAAAAATTTATTCTAAAATTCACTGAAATTTGGGAAATGTTATAATATTTCATCTCTAACTCAAGATAGTTTAGTTTAGTTTCCTATTTTTTTGCTTTCCTGGTTTATTTTGTTTATATTTTGAGTTGGTTAGAGCATGGTATTGTAACACCAAAGTCAAGGGTTCAGATCTCTGTATCAGCCAGCCACCAAAAAAAAAATTTTTTGTTTATATTTAAATAGAATTTACTCATATTTGTATTAGCATGTTTTAATGTTGCTTATAGCTTTTAATAATTAAGAGATAGTGTAGCATGGTGGTTAAGAGGATATAGGACTCCACCTGGATTCAAAACATGTCCACCATTTACTATGTGTGCCACCTTGGGCAAATTATTAAGCCTGGAGGGCTGGCTGGATAGCTCAGTTGGTTAGAGCATGGTGTTGTTAATACCAAGGTCCAGGGTTTAATCCCTGTTACCAGCCAGCCTCCAAAAAGTATATGTATATTTTGGGACTAAGACAACCAGGGCCTAGTAAGTACCTCCTGGAAGAAAACCATATATATGTGTATATATGTGTATGGGAAAATATATATTAGTACCTATTTCACACATTATAATGAGCATTTTTCAATATTTTAGAAAGTTTTGACATGATTTGTAATAATCACATAATCATTATCGTATGGTGTATCAGTTTCCTACACCTGCTGTAACGAAGTACCACAAATTAGATGGCTTAAAACAATAGAAATTTATTGTCTCATGGTTCTTGATGCCAGAAATCTGAAATCAAAGTATCAGTAGAGCCATGTTCTCTCTGATGGCTCTAGGGGAGAAATTTTCCTTGCCTCTTCTAGCTTCTGGTGTTTGCTGCCAATCTTTGGTATTTCTTGGTTTGTAATTGCATCACTCAAATCAGATGCCCCCCCCCCCCTCTCCCTGTGTGTCCTTTTCTTTTCTTTTTTTTTTTTTGCAGCTGGCTGTTATGGGGATCTGAACCCTTGACCTTGGTGTTCTAACACCATGCTCTAACCAAATAACCAGCTCTCCCAGTATGTCTTAACATCATCTTCCTTCTATGTGTGCCTATCTCCATGTTCAAATCTCTCCTTTTCATAAGGTCACCATCATATTGAGGTCTACTAATGACCTCATCTAAACTAATTACATCAGCAGCAACTCTGTTTCCAAATAAGGTCACATTTTGAGGTACTTGGGGTTAGAGCTTCAACGTATTTTTTCATGGGACACAATTCAACCCATAACATACAGCTCTACACTTATTAAATTAATTTTTTAGTAATTTATCTAACTACTTCCCTATTGATGAACATTTTGGTAGTCTACCTTTTAATTTTAAAATTATACTCAAAAGCTTATTTTTATAGAGATACTCATCCAAACATTATTTATAATAGTAAATAACGCTGAATAAGTTAGAGGTCCAGCAATAGGGAAATGTTAAATAATGTTGAAATATCCAGACAGTGGTATTAGTGGAATGTTTGCATGCCATTATAAGTGAAAGAGACATAATAGAAAATGACATAAGTAGAAATTTATATTCTGGGGCCATAACAGAAGTAACTTGTACCAGATTAGCTCCCCAGCTGTAGAAAAACTGGAGGGTTAGAGGGAAGGTGCTGTTGAAACAACTCTTTCTAGACATTAGACAAAGGCAGCAAGAATTCCGACCCCTAAAAGTAGGGAAACAAACGAGCTCAAGAGTCTCTCTGGTTTTCTTCCTGGAGGTATTTATTAGGCCCTGGCTGTCTTAGTCCATTTTGTGCTGCTATAACAGAATACCTAGGACTAGGTAATGTATGAAGAACAGACATTTATTTCTCACAGTTTTGGAGGCTGGAAGTTGTGTCTGATGAAGACCTAGCAGTGTTCTCACATAGCAGAAGTTAGAATGACAAGCTAGCAGGCTAGCCGAATGCTACGTGAAGCCTCTTTTCTTTTCTTTTTTTTTTTTTTAAAAGATGACTGGTAAGGGGATCTTAACCCTTGACTTGGTGTTGTCAGCACCACGCTCAGCCAGTGAGCAAACCGGCCATCCCTATATAGGATCCGAACCCGTGGCCTTGGTGTTATCAGCACCGCACTCTCCCGAGTAAGCCACGGGCCAGCCCATGAAGCCTCTTTTCAAAAGGGCCTTAATCCCACTAACAAGGAAGGAGTCCTCATGGCCTAATCACCTTTTAACAGCCTCTCTTAATACTGTCATATTGGCAATACCTGAATTTTAGAGAGGACACATTCAAGTCATAATGTTGGCATGGGGGGGAGAACCAAGCATGGCACAGCAATTTCATTGAGCAGAGTTGGGCAAGACTGAGGTGCCTGGAATTGTAGGGCAGAGCAACGCAGAAGTGGCAGCTACATTTACAAAAAACTCCAGAAATCTTCATAAGGATCCCTTGAGTCTTTGGCCAAATACTAAGGTGTGCATGCCAAGGGCTGGACTCCTTGCAGCCTGGGAAAGTACAAGTACCAAGGAGCTGCTAAATGAATAACACTTGGAGCTCACACAAGATTGGGAATTATTTGACTTCTAAACAGAATGGAAAGAACTTAGTACCCAGGGCATTCTGTAGAGATGCCAGAAAAGGTTAAACTAGCTCTAAAAATATCGGTTACTCACTTTAGGCCAGTCTTAATAAAACTTAAAATACAAGTCTTGAAATGATTAAGCTGCTCTGCAATTAAACTGTCTGCCAGAGAACAAATAAGTGCTCTTTTTAAAAAGGCAACAAAATCTGGACATTCAACCATGCGTGTAATATCTGGTAAAAATTGCTAAGTAGACTGGCCCATTAACTCACTTGGTTAGAGTGTGGTGCTGGTAG